GCATCCAATTGGTTCATCCACCCGGAGCTCCTTCCCTAACTTTTAGAAGGGGACGAGCTCCGGGATGGGTGAGATGATTAGATGGGGTAAGAAATGAAGAGACGCGCACAAAAGGGCACTGGCACCCCCCAACTACATTTTCACCGAGACTCTTCACTGGACGACGAAATCTTTGGGTGGTCCAACATGTCTCTGATCAAAAAGGGTTTGCTGACTAATTAAAACATCAGGTGCACTAAATGGCTAACGCCGGCCGGGGTAAATAATGGGCGAAACCGAGGTAAGCGGAGCAGGCAGGACTGACCATTTCCTCTTTAAGGTTAACCATAAAGATACAAAGCATAACTAACATCAGAACTGTAATATTGTAAAGGATTTTCCCGATTTCAGCTCCACAAGCTATACAGTCCTACGGTGTGGCTTGAAGCTGCCACCCAAATCTTCTACAGCATGGGCTTAGGATTCGGAGGTGATTTTTCAGTGATGGAAGCGTTTAGTTAGCGTTAACTGCTTTTAACGCTAGATTGAAAACGCTCCTAAATTTGTAGATCCTTGCTTCTTAGCATTTAAATTCAAGGGCACCTTCTCTAGGAAGGGTGTGTTAGTTGCATCGTGGCGGCAGTATACAATTCATAGTTATTGATCGTTTCAGGTCTCATTGCCTTCGGTTCGTATAATCCGCTCAAAAACGATTGTAAAAGAGACGCAAAGTGGTTGGCATTATGTAACGTACTCACATCGCTTTATACCGCTATCGTCGTCTTTTGTGTCCTCGGGTATATGGGACATAATACAATGAACACATGCATCGAAAAGTAAGTTAACCTCTTTGGACTTTGACCAACTCAGTGATCATAAATGATCACTAAAGATTATACATTATGCTGGCACTTATCAGTTTACCTGAAGAAGTCTCTATACTCATCGCTTCTGTCAGTATAACAAAGCCATTAGACCTTCAAAAGTAGCACTCCAACATAGCCCGAACAGTTGTCTCAGCTAGCTTTCAAGGGGAGACGGGCATGAGGATCGGCTTTGTGTAGTCGATCCGCCGCACGCGGCTGTCGCGGACCATTTGCCTCGTTATAACATTTCTAGCGTCCTTCATACAGCTCAATCGCT